GGGGTTCTACCCGGCCTTGCCTCTCCTCTATGTGCACTGCCAGAAACCCTGGACTAGCACTGATTTCAACAAGAATGAAGCCTGTGATCGAGAGAGAGTTTCTGGGCTGTGAGGATGGACTATGAACCACAAAGTTGGCCGTTGGAGCCCACCCAGAGGTGCCTTGAAATAAAGGCGTGGCAATCCCTTCCATAGGGCACAGCTATGAGCGCCTGGCAGTGCACACTTTTCCTCTGCCCACGGGGGGTGGGGGGGGGGGGCGGGTTGCCAGCAGTCGGAATCCACACAACAGCCACCAACACAGCGACATCCATTTTCCCCATGGGACAGAGAGAGGGCTCTGATTCTGCCTCCAGGATCGGAGAGACCATGGCAAGCAGCCAGCTCCATGCTTTCTTGCGGCAGGACCCCGGCTCCCTCAACCCCCTGCTCTCTGCCTCACCTTCTCAGTCCTGCGGGCCAGGATGATCAGGCCTCGAATGGACAGCACCTTCATGATGGGGTCACGGTGGCTCAGGCCTTCCGCCATCCGCCCCAGAGAGTACTCCTCGGGGATCCGCCGCACCTGCTGCATCTGGAGGAGCTGGGGCGCAAGCAGGTGATCACTCACTCACTCACTCACTCGGGGTGAGGGCGGCCACCGGGGCCTCCCCAGGGAAGGTAGGGCACATGGGATCACCAGGAGTCTGGGGAAGGTGTGTGAATGAATGATCGCTGCTTGGGTCAGCGCTGTCCAATGCCGGCCACTGGCGACCTGCTTGTGTTAAGGCAATAGCCAAGGTCACCGTGAGTCAGAATCAACTGCATTCGAGCAGATGTGGGTTTTAAATAGGCACATAACTTTCACATTTCTATCTCCAACCTCAGCCTCTGCCCAGATTAGGAGTGCCAGAGATTTACTGGACAACCCCCTGGACGACTGTCCATCAGGCACTTTGCAGCAAACCTGAGCGTAACACGTGTCCCTCTCGCCTTTTGCCAGCTGGCTCTACTTGCCTCGGGGGCCTCCTGCCCACGGGCCCACTGTGTAGTCCACCCTGTTAGCACCGGTGGCCAGCGTCTACCCACCATTTCCTGGATGTCCTATCCATGCTCGTCGGATGCCCATCTCCACTCTGAACCCCACTCACCCCACCTGACTCCACCTGAAGCTCAGCCCCTTTGAAGCTGTGCTTGACATGACCTCTTTGGTCTCCTCCTCCCCACCCTATGCTGACCACCCTTTCTCTGGGGCCCTGGGAGCCCCCAAGCACCCCCCTCAGGCAGCACGTGGGACCTTGAGTGCTCATCTGCTTTTCCACCTGCCTCCCCTATCAGACAGGGGGCTCCCTTGAGAAGAAACACCCAAGCCATCCCTCTTTGGAATCTTGGTACCTAACCCAAGACCTGGTGTGCTGTATGTACTTGGGGAATGTTTGTACTGTGAGGTTGGGTTCAACATGAAATGCGGCTCCTTTCTCCTGGCAGGGTTAGCGCCACCCCCGACTGGTGTCGCTGCCAAAACTCAGGCATCAGCCTCAGTCCCTTCTCCCTCTTCACCCTCCCCACCCACAGCAGCCGCCTGGTCTCCAGCCCCTGCCGAGTCATCCTCAAGGGCTCGCCCATTGCCTCAGTCAGCCCCTGTCCGCACTACGGCTCCTAGGACAACAGTGTATATAGGAGGGGGGAGGGTTGTGGAGAGCTCAGGGGAGGGGGCCGGACAGCTGAGGGGCAGGAAAGGAGGGGCTGCACTTTCCTCCGCGCGCCACCCCCCCCAACACAACTGCTGCTCAAGTCTCCTCCACACCCATCTCTGGGTTAGGCACAGGACACACAGTGACCCTATAGGACAGAACAGGACAGAGCTGTCCCTGTGGGTTTCAGAGGCTGTCAATCTTTACGGAAGTAGAGAGCCTCATCTTTCTCCCGAGGAGCAGCTGTTGGTTTCGAACTGCCGACCATGATGTTTGCAGCCCAACAGGTAAACCAGTAGGCCACCAGCACTCCTGGTCATAACACAGAGATGTGAGTAATGACAATAGGTAATAACTGGCTCAGGCAGTACCTCTGAGGCGCCAGGCGTGGTTCTAAGGGCTTTATGTGAACACATTTAATCCTCAGCTGACGCATGTGAGGTCCAAGACATTCATTCACAAAAGTGAAGAGGAGCAATGAGCAGTAAGATCGGGAGGCTGTCGCCGTGTCGGTCCCTTGGTCTTGACACTGTATCGTGATCGTTTCATGAGCTGTTACCACGAGCGCAAAGGACACACCAGGACTCTGCTGTTTCTTACCCGTGCACAAAAACCTATCATTATCTCCAAGTAAAAAGAGCTACTGGCAAAACAAGACAATAAATACTAAAACAACAACAAAAACACTTCCATGCAGAAATGTGTCCGCCAAAATTACATGCCTTAAAAGTGTACTTCGGGGGATGGGAGTGGGGGAAGCATCTGAGATCATCGGCAAAAGGTCTGCCCTGAGTATTACTGTTTGCTGAATGACTTCTATGGAATCCAGCTGCCAGCAACAACTCAGAAAGATTAGTCCTACACCTGGGGGCCAGAGGGTTGATATCTACGGGGAGGAACAGCTCCGAGGAGGGGGTGAGGATGTCACGCAGCTTGGAGAACATAATCGGCGCCCTGAATGCACACATGGAAACTATTGACTTGGTGCATGTATGTTCCACAAAGCAGCCGGCCGTCCAGAGGACGACCGCAGTTCTGTGTCCCCGGAGTCGAGGGAGGAAGCTGAAGCACAGATGGGTGATGTGGCTTGTCCAAGGTCACAGCTCCCGTGAGAGGTCACTGGGAGAAGAGCAGGTGCACACTGTCACACACACACACAACCACACTCACAGCAAGGGGAGCCTGGAGGGCAGGGGGTACATCTGAGCCATCACACAAATGAGTAGCTTGCCTCTGGTGAGGAGTGAGACCCTTCTGGGAATGGGGGACCAAGCCTGACAGAGGACCTCCGTGCCTGGAGGGAGGGCCCCTGCTCAGACACACAGGAGGAAGCTGGGGACTGTGGGCTCACAGGAAGCACCCCTAAGGTCCCACCAGCAGATGAGACAGAAGTGCCTCTCCAGGGAGGTGGCTGGGAGAGAGGAGCAGGCTGAGTTGGGCAGCACCCGGGTTCTGGGTCTCATGGGTCCTCTGAGCTGTGTGACCTTGAGACTTAGCCCCAGTTCACCAGACCCCGGGCATCACGGGTGCTTCCCTGCAGGGCAGCTGTACAGACCATGAGTAATGCAGGACAGAGGTCGGGACAGCGTTTGGTCCTTTCTCTGTCCCTCATCAGGGTCACCAGAGAAATCAGAGGGAAAACTGGGCCAGAGCTGGGTCTGAAACCGACTCCTGGACCCCAAACCCAAGACCCAGGCACATCTTTTCAGCAGAGCCTGATGGTCCCTGCAGAGCCCACATGTGCTCTTGGGCACTGGTCCCCTCTCTGGTCCAGGCCTGCAACGCACGCAAGCCCTGTGCTCCAGGCTCACAGCCATGCTGGAGAGGCAGGAAAGGTGCCAGACGTGGTCCCTATGGTCCAGCTAGGAAAAGGACCCTTCCAGGCAGCTGCCCTGCACCTCATACCATTCAAGCAGTCAGCCGCCTGCCTCTGAGTCCCACAACACCGACACTGGGAATGACCGGGTCCTCCCGCATTGCATCTGTCAGGACACAGGATGCAGACGAGAGGGCTGGCTAAGGGAGCGTGTGTCAGAGCCCAAATGTCCAGGTGTGAACCCTGGATCTGCTGCTCTCTAGCTGTTGTGGCCCTGGGAAAGGGATGTGAGTCTGTGTCTCAGTTTCCTGCTCTGTAAATCAGGGATGTCACCCCACCTGCCTCGTCGGAGTACTGTGAGGATTAAATGAAGCTCGGAAAGCGTGCCTGGAAGACAGTAGGCACTCGGTTAGCCTTGACTATGATTATTGGTCAGTCTCTCTTGGGTCTGATCCCATCGACTTTTCGTGATCCATGTCTTATGATTCACCACCACCACCACCCCCACACACTCAGCTTACAGAAAACGAAGCAACCCTCCTGAAGACACCCCAATCTATTCCCCCGCGCCCTTGCTGTCCCTGTCTCCCCTGCTTGAGGACAGCAGTGCCCAGAGAGGGCCGGCTGCTGCTGGGGGCCGGGAAGAGCAGTGGGTGAAGGGGCGGAGAGAAGGGAGAGGAGGAAGAGGGAGGTACAGGTCTTCATGACTCAGACCCAGTGGTCCTCAACCTTCCTCACCCGCAGCCCTTTCCTACAGTTCCTCAGGTTGTGGTGACCCCCAACTAGACAACTACTTTCATTGCTGCTTCATCGCTGTCGTATTGCTACTGTGAGGAATCGGGTAACCCCTGCGAAAGGGTTGTTCGACCCCCAAAGGGGTCGCGACCCACAGGTTGAGAACGGCTGCCTTAGCGCAATCGCGGGACGCCTTTGCCGAGTGTGACTCAGGAGGGGCGCCCCCTGGCGCCCGGGTCTGTACCTCCACGAAGAAGGCGGTGGCCGTGATCTTGTGCTTCTCGTCGCCTCGCTCCAGGAGTGGGATGAGCAGGTAGAGGATGCGGCACAGCTCCTGGCAGGAGTAGTGCACCATGGCCCTGGGGGGGCGGGGAGTGGGAAGGGGGGGGCGGTGTAGGCTGTGCTTTCAGGCTCTCCGGGCTCTGTGGGCCTGCTCGGTATGCCCCAGGCAAGCCGAGCTGAGTGTGCGCCTTCCTTCCCTGAGGGAGCCCCAGACGCCATCTCACTGGCCACCTAGCTGAACTGCTTTCTTTCACAGATGGGGGAACTGAGGCCCAGGGTGGGAACGTGACTTGGCTGAGGGTGCAGAGCAAATGAGGGGGAGAGGCAGGCGAAGGGGCCCGGCTGCCCGTGGGTCTTGTGGGAGGAAGAGAGAGATGGAGGGCGGGTGGGGCCCTGATGGTTGCTGGGCTGCAGCCAGCCATGCGAGCCCCGTGCTGTTCTTCAAAGCAGGTGCCTAACTCTTAGCCCCGTTCCCGGAGGTGGAGGCAGAGCGTGAGCCACCCACGGGCACCGCGCTGAGCACAGACTAACGTTCAGGCAGGGCTCCCCACCGACTGAGCCGGCAGCACCCGCCTGGCCTGGGAATGCATGGCTCACCCCAGCCTTCCTGAATTAAAAATCTGGGGGTGGGGTCCCGCCCTCCATGTCTCAGCTGGCCCTGCAGGTGTGCTGATGCCCACTAGAGTTGAGGACTGTGCCCCCTGCTCCCTGGACTAGCGATTCCAGGAAAACCTAGTGGTCACACCCAGTCCGCGCTAAAGACAGCCTTGGTTCAAACCGTGGCCCTAACTTGCGGAGTGCCTATGGGCAAGTCCCTTGACTTCTCTGGGGCTCAGTTCCCTCGTGCACAACATAGATCATATCACAGTGCTACTTCACAAGCCGGGGGGCGTGATCCATGCGTGGACTCCGTGCAGGACACTCAGAGTACAGGAGGAGCTCAAGAAACTGTGCGGTGTCCCGAGACCTCCGTCCTGGGCACCCAAGGGGCAGGCCTCGCAGGCAGGCTGGATCCCTCAGGGGCCACTGTAGGAACCAAGGTGCCCAGGACCCCAGGAGCATCTCTGTGTGGTCAGGGAAAGCGTCCTGGTCTGGGGTCAGCTCTGCCACTTCCAGGCTGCGTGACCTTAACTCAGGACAGCCTGTCTCTGAACCGTGTCCTGTTCCTCTGAAAATTGTGCATGAGTAATCCCCTCCCTGCCCACACTCATGATGATGAGAATAAAAGCTAACACGTGTGCAGCTGTTTCCCTGAGCCAGGACTCTCCCAAGCACTTTATGTATCATTGATCGATCCTCACTCCAAACCTCTGAGATGGGTCCTGGGGCTATTTCCATTTTTCTGAGTAGCAGTCTGAGACACAGAAGGGGGGGGGGCAGTCATGTGGCCCAGCTCAGACACAGGTAGCCCTCCCCACCGCCCGCACCCTTAACTGCCGAGCTGTATGGCCACGACTGTAGTCTTGTGCGGAGGTGGAATTAACAACGTGGCCAGAAAGTATGACCGCAAACGTCCAGGGGGATCTGCAATCGACAGGCCAATCGGAGGCGGAGTTTATATCCACGTAACTGTCCTTCTGTTGTTCAGTGTTGCCCTGGGTCGGAACTGATCCCGGGCAACAACATAGCCACAGAGTGTGGGGCCCGCTTACACATCTGTTGGATCCCCAGCTGTCCTCCGAGGCAGACCACCTCCTCCTCATGGTAGGGAAGAGGGGACAGGCCAAGCAGAAGGGACTTCCCCAGAGGAAGATGCCAACCCAGGTGGCGTGAAGGGCCTGGAGTCGGCCCCCCACGCCAACCTGTCGGAGGTGGTCCCCATCTTACCTCGCCAGCAGGGACACGCCGCGGTGGTGGTTCTCCGCCTGCCCCAGGAATTCCCAGCCGCCCCGGTCCTCCAGAAAGCTGGCCTCGTGGAAGCAGCCCATCTTCAGCAGCAGGGTCTTCACCACCTTCACCACCCAGCTGCCAAGACGAGGGACCAGAGGCTCATGTTCGCCCAACCCCACCCTCCCTCCCAGGGTGCTCTCAGGGTCAGCTCCCAGGTGGCCCCCATGCTGGTGGTTGGGTGTGGCGGGCAGGGCGCCCACAGAGTGCTCTCTGAAAATGCTAGCTTGCTTGAGAGCAGGAGAGTCAACAGAAGCAAAAGCCAGCACCCTTGAGAGATGGTTCTCATGTTTCCTAACGTACTTTGACTAGAGGAGGGAGTCTGGGCTGGGCCTCCCCACTCTCACCCACTGCTGTGTCCCTGCAGGACCCCCTGCTGCCGGGCAGAAGCCTTGAGGGACAGTGCTTTGCCCTGAGGTTCGCTCCTTGTTCCCATGTGAAAGTCCAAGCTTCTCCCGAGGCCTGGACTTGGGACCCACCCCGTCCTGAGGTCGCTCCTTGAGACGTGTGCTGTCAGTAATGGACTGTGTTGGTTTCCTGGGGCTGCCACAGCAAAGAAGCCCAAACTGGGCGGTTTCAAGCAGCAGAAATGTCTGGAAGCACCAGGCTGCGTCCGAAGACTAGAGGAGACTCCTTCTTTGCCTCTTCCTGCATCTGGTAGCTCAGAACCCCTCACGGCCTTTTCTCGTAGCTGTGTCTCCCCAATCTCTGCCTCCATCGCCACATGACGTTCTCCCCGTTTCATCCCGTGTCTCTCTACTCAAATCTCCCGCTCCTTTTTTCTCATATGTTTAGTGATGACCCTCATCTTGTATGAACTCATTTTAATTTGAATACATCTGTAAAGACTCTGTTTCCAAATAGGCCACATTCACAGGTTCCAGGTAAACATGAATTTTAGAGGCTTCCTCCTCAACCAAAAGAGCCCTGGTAGTGCTGTGGGCTGCATGTTGAGCTGCTAAGCCTAAGATGGTCTGTTCAAGCCCCCCAACTCCGTGAACCCTAAGATGGCCTGTTCAAATACCCTCACTCTGCTAAACCCAAGATTGTCTGTTCAAATCCACCAGCTCTGCTAACCCAAACACAGCCTGGTCAAACCCACCAGCTCTCTGTGGGAGAAAGACAAGGCTCTCTGCTCTGTGAAGAGGTAGAGGTACTGTCTCAGAAACCCAGTGGGCAGTTCTACTCTGTCTTATGGGGTCCCTGAGTCAGAATCAGTTCCATGGCAGTGAGCTTACTACTCAACCGACCACCACCCCTACCAGCAACACTGGCAGGGTTCAAAGGCAAAGAGAAGGAACGGACGAGAGGGGGGAGGGATGGGAGGAAAGGAAACCCGTTGGCCGTGATGGCGAGGACACGGAGGTCGGCCGCAGGTGTTGCCCAATTCTCCTGGGGGCTGACGTTCCCCAGCTCTTTCGTCCCCTCGAAAACTCCAAGTATTCAGTCTACATGACTAAACAGAGACGATACATTTCCTTTTAGAGAATTAGGATAATTCCTCTCAATGTCCAGAAGCAGAACCGCTGGCTGGAACAGAGTGCCCAGGCCGCGCACTCTCCCACGGGGCCTTCCTGCGGGACAGGTCCCGTCAGCACCTCCTTGGCGGCTCAGGCCCTCAGACGGCAACAACCTGGCCTACAGGTCTCGGACGTTGACACACAACCCCCCTGTGCTCGTGTGTGTCGCGAGAGATGAGGATCTACTTGGGCAAACGTTCCTGAACACAGCGCGACACCATGTCCTCAACCACGCTCCAATTTCCAACAGGAACGATCCTCCACATGTCCACGTGCCCCTACCCACTGTCACGGGGCAGACTCTCCTAGCTGTTCTGCACAATGACGAACGAAGCCCGTGGGAAGAGGGCTGATGGTAGAACAGCCCTCTGGCTTCCTCCCGACACCCACTCTGCGAGGGAGACCCTCCGGGAAGCTCAGCCTCTCTCGGCAACCCTGAGCAAGGACCACCTCCTTCCCTTGGCTTCCACTGGGATGGGGAGACAACAGGGGGCTGCTGCAGCGCACAGAGACCCAAAGGCTGCGTCTGGTGTCTCCCTCCCAGTTCAACCCAAAGTAAGAGGTGAGCGGGCATGCCTCCATAGAGCTAATCCTGGATTCCTCCACGGCCAGCCTGCCTCTGCTCACAGATCAACATCCCCGCCTTTGGGCACCTGTCAGCTTCTCTGAGCGTTCCCACGTCATCACTCAACCCTGTAACACCTGTGACCCACTTAATTCCAGTCACAATATAACAACAATCAGTTCTTCTGAGATGGGCCTGCTTGATGCTCAACCTAATGAAGAGATCAATGAAGATATTAGTGCTACAGCAAAGTGTGGTGAAGAAACTAAGTGATGCTCGGCTACCAGAAAAAAAATAGCATCTGGGGTCTTATAGGTTTGCTTCCAAACAAGCAGTCAACTAAGTCCACATGGAAGAAGCAGACCAGCCTGTGTGACCCACGGATTGTAAATAATATCATCCAAATCTAAAGGAGGGAATGGTATCAGAGTCTAAATTGTGAACACCTGGCTTGCAGGTGGCTATGGATGACAGTGGAAGCCCTAAATCCATTTAGAGTCCACACATGGATCAAGAAGCCTTCAGTGGCTACCCTGTGATCACAGTGGAAGGATGTGAACAGCCCTGTTATCAGACACAGAGCATCGTAGTTAGGTCAAAATGTAATATCATTTGAATTCCCTTTTGACCCATTGTTTCAGTTATTAAAAAAAAAGTGAAGGGGAGATAGAAGTGAATTAAGTCCCTGTTGACTCCCCTCTGACCGTGGACTGGGATGTGAGCAGCCTTGCTATCATGCAGAATGCATTAGAAAGTGGATTGTTGTGGATGGAGTTAGGTTAAAATTTAGCACCCTATCATTTGACCTCCCTTATGGTCCATTTAAATTTGTTCTAGTTTTTAATATTTTCTGCTTTCTTTTCTATTGAGATTTTATTCTGTTTTACTTTGCTATTCTTGTTAGTTTATATTTAAAGGTTTTTCTGTATATGACATTCAGGATAGGTAAAGCTTTAGAGATAGTAAGTGGATTAATGATTCATTGGGGGCATGGCAGGGGTGGTGGGGGTAGGTGGGGAGCTAATAACGACAAGTACAAGAATGAAGAAAATATTTTAAAACTGATGTGGTGATAATTTATAACTCCTCTTTATATGATTAAACTACTGAATTGTATGATATGTGAATTATATGTCAATAAAACTATTGATAAAAAAGTTTTAATTAAATAGAACTGGAATGCCAATAACGGTTCATTTCCTTAATATAGCATCTTGAAAAATTAGTAAAAAAATAATTCCCCAACAGTCCTACACAAAAAACGGGCCAAGACTGCTCTAACTGGAGCGGCCTGAGGTGACCTGCCAAAATGGTTCGCTACTCACTCAACCCAGAAAACCCCACAAAATCCTGCAAATCAAGAGGGTCGAACCTCCGGGTCCACTTCAAGAACACCCGTGAAACTGCCCAGGCCATCAAAGGCATGCACATCCGGAAAGCCACCAAATACTTGAAAGAGGACACTCTGCAGAAGCAGGGTGTGCCCTTCAGACGTTACAATGGTGGCGTTGGTAGGTGTGCCCAGGCCAAACAGTGGGGTTGGACCCAGGGTCGGTGGCCCAAAAAGAGCTCTGAATTTTTGCTTCACAGGCTTAAAAATGCAGAAAGTCATGCTGAGCTGAAGGGTTTAGATGTGGATTCTCCGGTCATTGAGCACATCCAGGTGAACAAAGCCCCCAAGATGCGCCGCCGGACTTACAGAGCTCATGGTCGGATCAACCCATCCCTGAGCTCCCCCGCCACACTGACATGATCCTGACTGAGAAGGAACAGATCGTTCCCAAACTGGAAGAGGAGGTTGCACAGAAGAAAAAGATTTCCCAGAAGAAACTGCAGAAGCAAAAACTCATGGCTCGGGAATAAATTAAGCTTAAAATAATAAAAAATAAAAGTTAAAAAAAAAAAATGGGCCAAGACCAAAAACACAGTATTTACAGAAAAGGAAACACAAACAGCATTTAACCCTATTTAAAGATGTTCAACCGCACGTGTAATAAGAGACATGTAAGCTAAAACGGATGCATGCTGGTTGTTTTTCCCCACTGCAGATTGGCAAAGATAACAATGTTTAAAAATAAATTGCGCTAGCCGCAGTGTGGGGGGAATAAGCACACTCACACAGTGCTGGTGGCACCGTGAGGGGCAGTTTGGCAAATGGGCACTTCGGGTGGCAGCGCACTTTAGCAGGCATCCCTCAAGGACATCCAGAACTTTTCTACCACATAATCTCTTCTTTCTTCCTGACTCTAATTTTTTGTTGTGAATTAGGAGGAGGTTTACAGAGCGGGTCAGCAGTTCACACACATTTGGTCTCAACTCCCCCATTGCAATCCCCTTGAGGGCCCATCCCTGTTTCCTGTTCCCATTCCTCCTCCTTTCCTCACCCTCTATACTTGGTCTTGGGGTGAACGCGGCCCTTTGGGGTCTCAAATGGTGTTCTTGTGACGCCTGATATTTAAATGCAGAAATCCCATGATGCACCAGTTCTACTTCAGGCACAATCACTCCCATTTGTAAACACATATGAACAATTCACTACAACGGGCGGGGGTTATACATGCAAAGGCCTAGGCACTACTCAAATCACGAGACTCCTGGTGAAATGAATTACAGCACATAGGGATTCTGTCCTAGAAAATAGGATGAGGCTGTGAACATGATCTTTGTGCTGTTACGAGGTACCATGGAATTGGTGCTGACTCATAATGAGAGAAACACTACCTATATGGAATCATCCTCCAAACACGGTATATGCTATAAGCAAAGCTGCATAACCACGTGCAGCGTATGCTACCATTCATGTAAAAATAGGGAATATAATACACGTGCTTATCTATGTGCACACCACTCATTATATATAAATTGAATGCTTTCTCTCCAAGAAAGAGATGTTGAAATCCTAACCCCTTGTAGCTGTGAATGTGATTTTGTTTGGAAAGAGGGTCTTTGAAGATGCTGTCAGTTAACATGAGGGGAGAATCCCTGTCCAAGACCCAGGTTAGATTCCCAACCAAAGCACTGATTGTCCACCCCCCCGTCTGTCAGGGCGTTGCGTGTGACTGTGATGCCGAACAGGAGTCAGTGGAGCTTCCCGACTAAGATGCACTAGGAAGAAAGCCCTGGAGGTCTCCGCCCACAAAAACCTTACGGCCCACAATGCATGCTTCCTTCCATTGTGGGCGGGGTTGCCAGCAGCTGGAGGCCCAATTCACAGCCCCTAGGGAGGACCTGCAGAGGCGGCTGGATGCGTATCCCATCTGCACGCGTCCTCCCGAGAGAAGGGACACGGCGGGAAGAGGGTCATCTGAGGACGGAATCCTGCCGCAGCTCCCGCAATTGCGGTACACCTGGGGCTACCGGAAGGGAGCTTCCCCTAGAACTTTCTGAGAGGAGAGAGCCCTGGATGCAAAGCCCTAGCCTCCAGAAACGAGAGACAGTAAACCTCTGTCCTTAAAAGCCTCCGGGCATTTGGCTCCAGCAGGCCGAGGACACTAGACACCACTTTGAGAACGCTATGAAAACATATGGCAGCCTTTGGAGAGGGTAACTGGGTTAAGGTAGAAAGGGAGGCTAGCTTCTCTGTCTTTTAAATGTTTTCGCCATGTGCACATATAACCTATTACAGGGGCAATTCCCTTTCGCCATACTGACTCAAGCGTGCTGAGCAAACGATGCAAGTAGCTGGGCTAGACGAAGAAAGGACTGGAGGACAAGCGTTAGCCACCCAGCTTGCCGAAAGCCAAGAAGACTGGAGACACGGATGGAGACGGAAGACATTGAGGTATGAATTATACCTCAAGGTAAAGGAGACAGAAATCCTCACACGGACCCCGAAGCAACATCCCGGTCCAGGAGCACAAGATCGGCGCTGTCATGGATTTCACTCCACCGGGGTCCACGGTCAACGCCAATGGAAGCCCAGTCAAGAAACCCAGTGGTGTGTGGCATTGGACGGGCAGGCCAAAAAAGGCTGTGGTTACAGTGTCCCAAAGCAGAGCTGTCACTTTGAGCATGAAGGTGCTCCGGACCTAAACCACAGTATTTTCGATCACCTCGTAGCTGGGTGGAAGTCAGACAACGGATCAGGAAGCTGGAGAGAGTAAACCTTAGAATGCCGGAGTGCTGAGGAACATCAAACACGCCGTGGATTTTCCGAAGCACAAACACATCTGTCTTGAAAGAATGCCCTCTGGGAGGGAGGGTGGTGAGGTTTCAGTTCAGGTGATCTTTTGGACATGCTTTTAGGATGTCCCTGGAAAAGGACATCGTGCTTGGTAGAGGGTCAGCAAAAAAGCAGACCCTTGAGAAATGGACTGGCCCACTGGCCACCAGCTGGGTGTCAGCATCACAGGACGGGGTAGTGCTTTGTTCTGTGGTACGTAGGCGTGGAAGCCGACCTGATAGTACTTCACGGCAACATCGTCAATTAACCATTTAAAATACAGCGGTGGGTCCTTGGACACAAGCCTAATATCTCTAGGGAGGGAAGAAAGAAAAAAGTATGGGGTGAGCCCCTGGGGAGAGGGAGGGAACTCTGCTTCTCTCCTGGGCCCAGTACTGAGTTCAGCATCTGGCACACGCACCGCAGGTGCTCAGAAACAACTGTTAGACAACTTACTGTGCTAATAAAATAATGTTTCTTATTTTTCTTCTGTCTCAAAGCTAATGTGTATCGAGTGCGCACTCGCTGGCCATTTGGAAGGGTCCTTACTGGGTGGCCGTCTGTCCCCACTGTTGGAGACAGCAGGGGCAGCCAGGAGGGCAGAGCATACCGGACGGGCACAAAGGCGGGGGGCTGTCCATCCTTCTTGGTGTCCTTGCGGGGGCCCACACGGCCAGGCAGACTGAGGCCAATGTGGTAATGGACTTGAATGAGCAGGGCCAGCAGCAGCTGGGGGTAGATGCGCCTCACTCGGCCCACGCAGCTGTTGACGGACAGGAGCTCACACAGGCCGCTGGCTGCCTGCGGGCAGAGAGCAGGCTGGTGGGATAGCTTCGACCATCTACCCAGCGTTCCCGGCTGGGCCCAGGACCACCCCTCCGGGAGATGGCTTCCCTCTCCTCTGGCCCAGCCTGAGATCTCCCCCATAAACCCACGGCCCTCTGGGTGGGTCCTTTCCCAAACCATAACAGCAGCCACAGTAACCTCGGTCCAGGAGTCACTGGGTGGTGTAAGTGATTCAGTTTGAAGGTCCGAGGACCCATAGGGGCAGCTTGGAAGAAAGGCCTGGCGATCTAATGTCAAGCCAGCCTTTGGAAAGGTGATGGGACACACAGCAGGCCACTGTGCATTGGAATCAACTTGATAGCAACTGGGGGACCGGTCACTCTGGTCCCGAGCTTTGACCTCTACCAGGGCGAATGATGGCAGTGAGATCCCTCCCTTACTCCCATGGGGCAAACTCTCGATCCCATTTTGCAGGTGGGGTGGTGGCTCACCGGGCAGAGCTGGGCCTTGCCTTCAGGTTTTCAGACCCCAGCTGTAGAGTGCCCTTCCTCTACCTCACTCACGACCGGCACACGCAGGGCACGGGGACACCACGCTGGCCTCTTCACCCTGGCTGCCCCCACGCGGCCAGCACCAAGGGAAACCGGCCCCAGCCCTGAGCAGGAGCCAGGGAACAGACCCTGTCCTGGATGCCATCGGGGCATGCCCGCCCCTTCCAGAGCATGGCTGCCCTCACCAGCTCGCCAAAGCCCACCAACCTGAAGTCCCACATCGGCTCTGCTGGCTTTCGGCCCACAGTGCCCCGTAGGACCCACTTTGCGTGTACCTTGAACATCTCCAGCTGCCAGCCTCGTTCTGGCCCTGGCCTGAGTCCACACCCCACTCCCACTCAGCCCACCAAGGACCTTGTGGGGAAGGGGTGAGGGGTAGACTTATGGGCCCTAATGACTCATCTTGGCTGCACCATGCCCAAACTCTTCTTTGAACCTCAGACTCCTCTGTAGAGAAGGGGTGCTGATCTGCACCCACCTGGCCTCACGTCTACCCACTGCTGCCCTGCCTCCACGTGGTCAGCGAGCTGCCCCGGCCGAGTGGAACGGCTCCCTGGGGGTTCGGAGGCTGGGACACTGCATGGTAGCAGAGGGCGCCATCTCTGTCCCACAGAGCAGCTGGAGGTCCAAACTGCTGACCTGCGGTTAGCAGTCCAGCGCTTCATCCACCCTGCCCCCAGGGCTCAGACGGCGCCGTGTACCTCCAACGCCACACGCTGTCCCTTGGGCCCGCAATTCCTCATGGAACGTTCCCTGGGAATAAGTGATGTGACCGCACGCACGGGGGGTGGGGGTG